ATATATATATATATATATATATATATATATATATATATAAGCGTTCAAATAAAAACTTGCCACATTTGTGTAAACCGTGTAAACCAATCACATCCATTCATTTTCTTGATCAATGACCAAGATTAGTTACTTTATTTTATGAAATTAAAAAAATATATATATTAAAATTTTATTTTATTTCAACTGTAAAGGCAAAAATGGTAAACAAAATTTAACATTTGGTAACATCCTTTTCGATATTAATGACACTATATTCATTTTTTAAAGCAATATATTATTTTTAACTTTAAATCACATCCATCAATAAAACATATAAAAAAAATGAATATAACACACCATATTCAATTATATAGAGTGAATCGTTTTAAATTTTGAATTACATTATATGAACGAAATTGATTTCAAAATTTAATCAACAGACTAATCCAAGTAATACTGATCATATTTCGTAATTTTCATTATACAGGTAGATGGATCCGTTACACTTAGATAACGAAAAAATTTCATCGATTACTGACTTCATAAAAGTTTATAATACAACATGAAATTGTTTCACTTATGCAACCATTTCACTTATCAGGCTCAATACTGCCATGAACCAGTTTCACTTTCATGAAAACTATTTCATGTATAGTAATTTTCTTATTTCACCACCGATTTGATGGAATCATTCCTTTAGTCTTTACAATCTTGAAGATTCTGGAACATGTTACAATCTTCAAGCTCATGTAGCAGATTAAAATCATTTTCCCGTTTCATCATGCACTTCGTTCATGTCATGACGAGCGAAATACAAAATGGCTCAACTACACCATCAATGCAACGGGTTCACTATGAAAATGTTTCGTTTCACATAATTTATTTGCAACAAGACCCGGTTTCACGTTCATGAAACATGTTTCATTTTCCTTTTCATAATTTATTTTCAAAATGCACCGGTTTCATTTTTTTTTTATCAACAAAATGGATCAACTACACCATCAATGCAACGGTTTCACCATAAAAATGTTTTGGTTCACCTAATTTATTTGCAACATGAACCGGTTTCACGTTCATGAAACCTATTTCATTTTCTTTTTCATAATTTTTTTCAAAATGCACCGGTTTCAATTTGGTTCTCATAAAAAAATGATTAACTACACCATCAATGCAACAGGTTCACCATAAAAATGTTTTGGTTCACCTAATTTCTTTGCAACATGAACCAGTT